ATGCAAATGAAAGAAAAATATATTGTTCATTGAGCTGAGAATTTGAAGCAAAGGCACACCATTTTGAGAAAAGAGGGCTGCAATCAAATATCTACATTTGATTTACAGAAAGGATTTAAGGTCACTAATAGTACTTTTCAACTGCACACATTCATTTCCATTAATGCTCTAAATGATGTCATCTTGAAATTAAGGATCATTATATATGATGATGCATGTTACATGAAGAGCCAAGGTGTTCTTAAATTGATGACCTGTGGTAGAGGCTTGCCTATACCGTCATGGAAGTTTCTTATCAAATGTTTGTTATGGGTATTAAGCTAAACTTGCCTCACTGCCTTTTAACACATTCCTTTGTAAAAGCTAATATATGCAAAGTAAAAGTGTTATTTATTTTTTTACTCTAAATTATGGTACAGGATGAAGTCAACCGGCTGTCAGTTCTTCAACCTCAAATCGAACGATTAAAAATTCAAAGCACAGCCCTGAAAGAGAAAGGACAAGGGCCCATGTTCCTGGATGCAGACTTTGTGGCCTTTACAAATCATTTTAACCAAGTTTTTTCTGATGTGCAGGCCAGAGAGAAAGAGTTACAGACAAGTAAGTTAAAATTCTTAAAATGACTAACTTGAAATTTTCCATATTGGTTATTTGTGGGGAAAACAGAAAGTACTAACATGAAAGAATAACTTCTATCAATGGAACCATTCTCCCTACTACTTATATTAACAAATAATGAAATGCTGGTGTTGGAAAACAGATATGTTGTCTTTAGATTCCTTTCCACTCCATAATACTTCTATGACTTTGAGGAACAAATAAAATGTGTTTCATACAGGCACAACTTCTCCTTGGTGGGTTGCAAATTTTAGAATTAGGCATTTTAAACATTAAAGAAAATAAAAGAGCAGATAAGGCCATGTGGGTAGGCTTTCACTAAATCCAGTTTCTCTACATACAAGGACATTTAGCAAGGCATCTTCTAATACTTCTATCAATTTATCTGAAGAGTATTATAGTTATAGCATACATGTGGCAACTGAAACTCAGCAAAGGACAAATTACTCTTTGGGTACATTTTACTATTGGATCACTATAATTACATAAATCCTCTGTTTTTCCTTTGATGATAAAATAAAAGATAAAAGTGGAGCAATTATGCAAATGAATGCCATGTGACTAGTAAATTTTTCAAGATGTCTCTTTTGTCTCTCACTAATTTGCTTTAATAAGATGATGTTAATACATAGTATCTGCTCTGAAATATCTCTACTCATCAGCTTAATTTTTAAGATAAAAATTCTTTTGAGAGACAGGTTAATGAATACTTTTAAGCAATATTAAATG